ATTGAATGCCAACAAATGGGGCTTTAGCTTCAGCGAAGAAGACATCTATAGAACAAATGGGTCTAGAGTAGCTATGTAGGATCTCGCCAGAGTGGGTCCTGGTGATGCCCTCAATGCCAGATGGGCCAGGGTTCCTGATAGAGCTGCCATCAAAGTCTAATTTGATGGTGCCTTGTTCTGGTGGTGATCACAAGGAGGACCTCAGGTCCGAGAATGCAATGGATCGAATTATATGTTGTCACTGAGTCATGAAATCTGCTGCCAAAAGGTTCTTGACTTATGCCAGAGCTCCCAGGATATGACTATCTTATGCAGTTGATGAGGGTGCTGATCTGGAGATGCAAGCTCGAAGCTCTCGTGATTAAGGCGATGTCAGATGAACCAAAAAGTGGCTCATACGGTCAATCACCAGAGCCTAAGACCTGACTTTGGTCGGACAGGGAGAAGTGGTGTTTGAAAAAGCTTACAATAGATAGAGTGACACAACTGTAGTCCAACAGTTAGAGCAAGAAATAGCCAGATATATTGATAAAAGCATTGAGGAATAGATTCCTCTTCTGTGCTGCAGCTTGAGGTTTTGTGGCCTCCAAAGGCCTTGCCAGTTTGACACTTGGTTCTATAGATAAAAGCTCCTTTTTTAATCCCCATGTATTTGAACTCACATTTCGAACATTCTTGGCATGAGTGAGGGTGCTAAACTCACAACGTGCGTTGCACGTAAAAGTAATTACTAGAAAAATAACCAAATACTCAATGATCAAAAGATGTATTAGGCAATGGTTTGATATTAGAGATCCATTGGGTAAGAGTTGATGTTACATAGTAAAAGGCACAAAAATCACTTTTCTTAATTTTTATTGGTTACAAACTTTTTAACCTTCTATTTTTGTGTTAAAAAAATACTTTAATACGATACTGATTTTTATTTTGTTTATTAGATAAAAAATACCTACCAAAAAGGGTAAAAAAAGAGAGTTACCAAATCACAAAAAATAAAGAGTTACCAAATCACACTCTTTCTTGATGAAACATTAGTATTTTTACAATTTCTTCAAAATTATATTAATTTATGAGATTATTACATGCGATAACAACATTAAGCATCAAATTAAAAGCATAAATTTTTCATTCAAAAATAACAAATAAAACTTTTGGAACATGAAATTTATTAGCAATTATGACTTGTTATATCATGTTCTCTAAAGAAAATCTTCTCACAGTAAGATTGTGAACCAAAAATAAAAATAAATTAGGCGATTGTGAAATTCAAATACAATAACTAAACACCTTCCCGTGGCAAGTTTTTTAGCACAATTTCACATTAAATCTTTGACTGAAAAATACAACTTATCTCAGAAGATGAATATGATTGTTGAGCTTCATAGACATGCAAGAGTACCTTCACAAACTAATATAATTATAAAAATGTGAACATAGAGAATAATAACAAATTGATAAAAAAAGAAAAGAAAATAAAAAATAATACAAAAACTTACAGGTAACTATATTCAAATAATATAAAATAATAAACTAATAAAATGAGTAAAAAATATTAACCAAGGATGTAAAAGGCAATAGTTAAACTGAATGTAAATCGCAATCGTTAAACTATATTCACAAAACCGGACCATAACAGTTAACTGCAGTTAACTAAACATGGAGCCGGAAGCGATTTAACCGGCCTAACCGGTAAATCGGTTGATTCAACCGTTCTAACCGGGCAAGTCCCGAGTGGTCAAAAAATTGTTAAAAAAAAAAAAGATGCAAAAAAAATCTACTAAAATATTAAAAACATATAATGAATGATTAAAACAAAACACATTCAAATGAAGTTGAAAATTAATGAAAAAAATGGATTTCAAAAGTGCCTAAGTGTATTTTAAATTTTTTTTTAAAAAGATAGAAAAAATATAAAAATGCGTATTAATGACCAAAACAATTTTTTTTATCATAATGTAAAAATATATTACAAACCAAATTCCTTATTTTTGAGATTTTACATACTTTTTTTTTTAAAAAATATCGGTCGATCACCAAAACCACCCAAAATCAGAATCTAACTGGGCGGTTACCGGTTAGATCGCTCGATTTTTCCAATATGGCTACATATATGGGTGATGGGGGACATGAAAGGCGAAACTACTTAAGCCATGAGTTTCATATATTATCAAAAAAAAAAAAAGTTATTTCCTTGATGACACAATTGGAAAATTTTCAGAAGATTTTCTTTAAAAATCACACAAAAATTAATCAATGACATAGAGAATACAGAACTACTAAACATTTTCCAACTTCGGCCATATAATAGAACATTGAATTAAAAAAAAAGAAAAAAAGAATCACAATAGAACCAACCTCTAGTTTAAGAAAATTGATATATTTGAGTCAAGGATGTTAAAGGCAATAGCTAAATTGTATGTAACTCTTCTGTACGTATATGGGTGATGGGGAACATGAAAGGCGAAGCTACTTGCCCCATGAGTTTTATATATTGTAAAAAAAAATTTATTTATTGCCTTGGAGACAATTGGAAATTTTTACGAAGATTTTCTTTAAAAATCACACTAAAACTAATAAATAATATAAAGAATACAGAGAAAACCCTAATAACTAAACTATTAAAAATTTTCCAACCTTGACCATATAACATAACATTAAATTAAAAAAATAAAAAAGAATGAACCAACCTCTAGTTGAAAAAAATAACATATTTGAGTCATATAAGAATGAAGAACTATAATTTTACCCTTTACCTTTTACATTAGAGAATAGAGAGGCTGCTTTTGAGAGATTCTGTAGGATATGAGAGAAATATTTATTTCTATATTTGAAGATCCAAAAGATATTATGAATCTCATTTCATTTATATCAAATTAATGTAGTCATAGTTATCCCTAGAATCTTGAGATTTTTCTTTAGATATGGAAAATAAAAATATTATGAATCTTATTTCATTTATATCAAATTAATGTAGTCATAGTTATCCCTAGAATCTTAAGATTTTTCTTTAGATATGGAAAATAAAAATATTAGAAATTTCATTTCATTTATATCAAATTAATGTAGTCATAGTTATCCCTAGAATCTTGGGATTTTTCTTTAGATATGGAAAATAATTAGTTTGGAGTATTCACTATATCTAATTATGTATATAAAATAAAGCAAGAGGTCCTCTCTCTTTCTCTCCCACATCCCTCTCTCCCTTAAAAATAGGGATTTGGCACGTTTTTCTCTTTCTTAATTTCTTAGTGCATACTCCCACTCTCTAAATTAGAAAGACTCCCAAGATATTTAGCTATACAAATATTCAATAATCATTCTCTTTGATTTTCTTTCCATTTGTTTCTCACATGAAGTAAGAAGGAACCCCTAGATATTCGCCTATACAAATCTTCAATGATCACTCTCTTTTGATTTTCTCCCCATTTGCTTCTCACACGAAGTGAATGATCAAAATAAAGTAGAGTTGTGGGTGTAACCCTTTTCAATTTTCCAACAACTGAAATTGATAAATTTTTTATTTTTGAAAAACTAAAAATATCTCAATTTAGATTTTTGAAACCCTGAAAAAGTGATTATTTTCCTCTAAAATACCACATATTTTTCAGTTTTCCAATTACCAAAGTTGAGACATTTTCGATTTTTCAAAAACTAAAAATTTATCGACAAAACTGAAAAGATAATCATGTAAAAAACCAAACCTTTCTCACTCTTCTTGGTTACTCTCTTCCTTAGTTTTGTTCATTTGGGTTTCTTTCTCCTATTTGTTTTCCTTCCTTAAGGGCCTTGCTGCTCTCTTCTAGCAGATGCCTTTGGGATTCAGAGCTAGGCCGAGTGACTCCAAGTCAAAGTTAAAAGATGCACTATTTCCAAAACTTGAAATTCATTTTTTATCTCATGTGCATGTATCTTGATGCCAAGATGATCAATTTGAGGATATTTTGGCATCAAAACAACCTTTTTTAGTGAATTTTTGAGGTGGGATCTAATTTGATTGTTTAGATTCTCAGCTCTACATAAACTTTTAGGATTATATACAATAAGCCCATTTATCTTTAGTACAAAGAGTTGAAAATTATTTATAGCCATCTGATGTAAAATTTGATGGCTTGGATATGTTACAAAGTGCGAAAAAAATTCGTTTAAATTTTGAGCTTGATCAATGAAATAAATGCAGCCACCCGATTTCCATACGATATTCAAGATTAATTGTACCAAAGATAAAACTCAAGATTAATTGTACCAAAGATAAAAGATAAGGGAATGCTTTTTATGTTCCCCCTACAACATAGAAGTTCTATCCTCCCCTTATCCAACTGTTCATTTCAGAATGGAGGGCTAAGATTGCCTCAATCACAATGTCACGTCTCTACACTATTTTATTTTTAATTTTTTTTATAAACTGTTTTGACACCAAATTTTGGACATCCATTCTTCTATTAAACTCGCACTAAAAAAAATATATAAAAAAAATATTTTCAATAAAATAAAATGACCAAAATACCATTAAATTTTTAAGGGGTATTTTGGTCATTATTTTTTGTCAAAACATTATTGTTAATCCTTTTTATAGGTGCGCCCCAATGAGAAGATGGGACATACCTAATTTCATATTCAGAAAAATTGTATTAAAAAAATTAAAAATAAAATACTTTGAGATGTTGGATCTAAGATCAAATAATGAGTGGCTCTCTTGATAAAAAAATGGACAGCTAGATGGTAAGGGGAGTGCCTGCAACTCACGGTGTAACACGGTTTAATATGGTCATCAACTCATCACCTACTTTTTAGCGACCATCTCCCCTCTTCCACATGGTATTAAAGCTAATTTCAACCGATCCTTCTTCTTTGTAAAGTTTAATACTCTTTTCTTCCTGCTTATGCACCAAAAAGCTGATATCCTTGCTCTTTATAAAAGCGTCCTCTTGTAGTTTCATCCACCATTCTACTTAACTTTATTTTGATCATTCACTTCATAATTCTTCTTTCTTACATCAACAATGGCATCGCCTGCAAATCCCAAAGGAATCCTCCACGAATTCCCCCCCTTTATCCGAATCTACAAAGACGGCACCGTCGAGCTCCTCATCGGTACACAAACAATCCCCCCGATGTCCCTCTCCGATGCTAGCATCTCGTCGAAAGACGTTGCAATCTCGCCAGACGTCTCTGCTGACTCTACTGCCTGGAATCTGCAGCTGCTAATGGAGAAAAACTCACTACCCTCCTCTACTTCCAAGGCGGTGCCTTTGTCATTGAATCTGCCTTCTCCCCCTTCTACCACCGCTACCTCGACGCACTCTCGGCAAAAGCGAACGCCCTCATCATCTCTGTGGATTACTGTCTCGCCCCCGATCACCCACTCTCAACTGCCTACGATGATGCATGGGCTGCATTCCAATGGATCATGGATCTCTCTGATCCGTGGCTCAGGGACCACGCCGATCTCGACCACCTTTTCCTAGCCAGAGATAGTGCAGGGGCCAATATCGCCCACCGCACAACTATGCGTGCAGGCAAGAGTACGGGGGCGAGGGTGCGCAGACTAGTAACGATTCACCCATTCTTCTGGGGTACCGATTTGAAGGAGACAGCGAGAGAGAGGAGCGAGTCAGTAGAGAAGATGTCGAGATTTGTGTGTCCGAAGACCAATGGGCTCGACGACCCCCAGGTGAATCCCGGTGCCGAGGCATTGGAGAGGTTGGGGTGCCGGAATATGTTGGTCTGCGTGGCTGGGAAGGACATGTCGAGAGAGAGGGGGCGGGCGTATTATGAGGATGTAAGGAGGAGTGGGTGGGAGGGGGTGGCGGAGGTGATGGAGATAGAGGAGGAGGACCATATTTTTCATTTGTTCCGGCCGGATTGTGATAACGCTTCGCTCATGATGGAGCAGATTCTGATGTTCCTTAACAATGACTAGATAAGTGCCTCCATCACTCTCTATCTTTCCTTCTCGAAATCCTCTCTTAAATTGTAAATTAAATGATTTTACACTTTGTTTCTGTTTTTGGGGCATTCATTTTAATTTTCGTGAATAATATATTTTAATACTCGCTTCTTCTTTTTTTCTGACTGATTCATGAATTATAGTTGAGGTAATCACTTTGTGAATTATAGTTGAGGTAATCACTTTGTGATATTTGGGATTGCATAACATCGTCAAACTAGAATTTCTTGCAATCTTTGGGAATATAAGGGCCCAGTTTGAAAACACGACTAGGGAACATAAGCCGCCCATGGATCGGGTCCACGTAATCCGGAGCCTGTCCGAGTAGGTCCCGACCAATGCCAAAAAAGGTTAAAAAATAAAAAAATATTAAAAATATGAAAAATATGTTTAAAACATGATTAAACAAAATACATCAAATGAGAATAAAAAAGTAGTGAAAAATATTAAGTTTGAAAAATCAATTTGTGCTTAAGGGTATTTTAGAATTAATCTAAAAAAAACGAGAAAAATGTAAAAATATAGACCTATGCCCAAATATTTCCCAATCTTTCTCAAGACAATTAGAAAACATAATAAAAACCTATTATGAACGAATTCTTTAATTTTTGGACTTTATAAGTTTTTTTATTTTTTCTAGGTTCCTGGTTCGACCACCCTAACGGTCAATATCAGCCACATCCAATGGTTGGGTCCAGGTCGATCTGGCTGGTTGTGCGAACAACAACCTACCTTATACTAAACAAGTGCAACACACCTCTAAATTTTGTTGGGAGATGTAGTTCTATGTCAAAAACCTTAAAATAGAAAGCTTGTTTTCAATGCTGCATCATTATCATCACCATCATTTTAGCCTTCTTCCAATTAATTGGGGTTGGTTACATGAATCCTGGTTCTCCATTTTTCTCTATTAGAGGCTATGTCCTCAGTGAGATCATACCCCTTGCCCTTTTCAATCCTTCAACTTAAACTAACTCGTACCCCCTATCAGGTATTGTACTTTGTCAGTGCCACACATGACCAATCCACTTAAATTTGCTCTCTCTCATTTTATCGCCTCCTGGTGCCACACTTAAATTGTCTCGAATAGATTCATTTCAAATTCTATCTTTTCTTATCTTACCACTAATAAATCTCAACATCCTCCTCTCCGCTACACTAATTATACGGGGTATATTTGTTGGGTTTATGTGGCATTTAAGGACCCTATAAGTGCTTGTAAAATAAAATGATATAGTGGAACATGAACTCAGTAGGATACTAAACAAACGATGGTTTGCTGATACCGATCTGTGCTTAATGATCTAGGCCAGTCGGTTGGGAAAAGCCCATGTTACTTGGGCATGAAGAACAAACCGATGAGGGTTTATGGGTTAGCCTTTGATGAGGTTGGAGAATATGCCCGGATGAGTGTGCCGAGGGACTGTGTGACCCTTGTGTGTGATGGTGGCCTATAGAGATAGGGGCAAAAACCTCATCCATGTACCATCACACGGCATGCATATCGATAGATCGTTCGGGAAAGCCAGAAATCCACCTTTTAGGGTGACGTGTATGCATGTACGAGATATACCCCTATGCGCCATAGAGCTATGGTCGCATAAGGTCTTGGTGACATTGACTTGTCTTTAAGGGAGGACCTGTAATCCACAGACTGGAATTGGGACCCCTTGGCTCATCCGCCAGACTTTGGTGACCTTTTAATGAGCCCTTGCTTGGACTGTGAGTAATGGGAAACACTAGGTCGGTTCGATAAGGCAAGTGCGGTCTGTAGTCCACAGTTGAAGGTGGAGTGCTCAATGATTGCAGATTAAATTCCTTAACCATATGGATCCATTTCCCATCAAGTTAATTTAATTATATTTTTTTTATTATAGAAATTATTTTAGAATTATTATTTGAATTTTTATGAGTCATTTGATATTTGATTTATAATTTTTTTGGACTTATAAAAATGAAGATATTAATTTTACAAAATTATAAAATTCAAATAATGTTTTAGATTTTTTTTTTTAATAATTTAAAATTATATAAAATATCATGGAGCACCCCTTAGTGCACATGGGCCCAACATGTGTCAAGTAGGTTGGGCCAACATGTGGCACACATGGGTGGCACGCGCCACCCATTGGATTCTTTCTTGGAGTTTAAGTTATTTCATGTTTTGGTAATATTATATTATGACATGTGGTCAAATAAGATATGGAATATTTTGATCATATATTGATTAAATATTGAAAGTGTATATTGAATTGATATATCTTCAGAATATTTTGTGAATGATTATAGAATGCATAATATTTTAATTAGATTTAATTTATTTAATTTCTATTGATGGGAAAATGGTTAAGGAAAGGGGGACAATGATCCATGCACCTTTCATAATGTTGATGGCCCATCTATGGAATGGATGACTCAGATCTCTCACCCCACAAGTCACTTTTGATCGACGGTCTATGTTCAATCTCACAATAAGAGGCAAACCAAGAAAAACCCTAAGAAACCCTAATCTTGTTCAAGCCTATAAAAAATGGATTGTCTCTATCCAAAATCTCTACACCTTATTTTTCTATCTCTCTCTTAAGAAAGTATCTCTCCCTCATGTTTGATCTCTCTCTCCTATATTGTGAAAGAACTTAATGGTTTAGGTTATGGAGTTCTTCTCTCTCCTATCTCTCAAATATGGATTTATGGCTAAAGGTTTTAGGGTTTTGCAAAAAGAGAATCCATCTCTCTCAAACTAGGTTGCTAAGAGAATTCACCTAGGGTTTAAGTTTGTGATCAAAGGGGTTCATGTTTCATTGGTGTGACTTGAACAAAATTTGCTTTCTCGGTGCGAGATTAAAGCTAGACCGTTGATCCTGGGCCATCGGATGGTGGTGACTCGGTGTGAGGTATAATAAGCCCGATTGAGGTAATCTCCGATACCCTTGCTTTTGTTTCTTACAATCTTATCTTTTATTCTCAAGCATAGTGCATAGTTGTTTCAATGAAATCAAGTTGTTAAGATCTTGGTTTTATTGTTATGTTGATTTTATTTTGAAATTTATCTTCTTATAATAAAGACCACATGTAAGTGATCTTTTGCTAAAAGAAAGGGGTGAAGAAAAAAAAAAAATGTATTCTCCGTTAAAAGATCACATAGGTCTTTCTTTCATTAGTATCAGAGCTATTGATACATGATGCCATTAGTTATCTTTTCTCTTGATTGAGTTTAGATCAAGCTTGGGAATGAGATATAAGAAAGCTAATGACCTTTGTGGTCAAAAAATACACACACGGTTAATAATTATTGAAATATTCCAACACCGAAAAGGCACTATGTATAATGAGTATTGTAAGCTATTTCAGAGTAGTGATATGAAGAATATAATGAGGTATTTTTCTGTTACATACTCAATGATATTTTGTATCTTTAGGAGTAGGATTTACCTATAAAATTTCAATGGGAGATCCTATAGGAATTGAGAGTTATGAACTCAACAATGAAGGATATCAGTTCTGACCATGCAAAATTCAGGAACTGTCCATTGAGTTTCGTGATTTTTCTTACCAATCATATGATTTTATTTCTAGCTCAAATTAGACTGTAACTCATAAAATGGAGTCTACTTTCAAATAAAAAAGGTTTCATCAAGAAATTCCTTGTGGTTTGAAAGATATGATCAATTTATTGAAGGATGCGCAAGTGCTGTTTTCTGCAACGAAAATTATTTTCATGCTTGGAAGTTAAGATTTAATTTCTATTCTTAACAGAATGTTTTATGATTCACATTGAGTTTTTAGAATTCCATTATGAGTCTAATTTATAATAAAAAATTTTTGAGAGAGAAATATCTATAGGAAAAGAGGAATAACAATTTTGGTTTAAAAAGAGGTCATCCTGAATTTTCTCTAATTTGGTATGTCCTTCATTGAAGACATGAATAGCTATATTTATCAAGCCTACTTAACAGAGTGATATAAGGCTTGTAAAAATATATGTATTACTATTATGTGTCTAATTTTAGACAAAATTGGTTTGAAAGGGAAACTCCATGATGGTAGAGAGAAAAGACAATTTTATTACATAATGTTCATTCTGGAATTCTGCAGTATGATTTATTTTGTGACGTGAATGTCACTTATTTATTTCTCTGAAAAAAAGTATTATTTGGGATTCAAACTATGATGTTATGATTTGGGTTTAAGTCTAGTTTTCAACACAAAAGATTTCAAGAAGAAATTCTTTGAGGATTGAGAGAAGCAAATTTTTTATTAAGAGGTGCTCAACCTGATTTTCAATTGAAAAGATTGCATTGTGACGTAAATGTCACTAAATTGAATATTCATTAGATGATATGATTTAGGGATGGAACTGAACACTATTTTATATTCTTTTGAGTCTATTTCAATACTCAAAAGGATTCAAAGATTAAATTTTTATGAGTTAAGAGATATCATATTTTTGTCATGGGATGCTCAAGTTCTATTCTGTAGTAAATTAAAAAGATGTGGCATGTTAAGACACATTTTTGGTTTTTTAGTTCTGAAGACCTTTTTTTTTTTTTTGTAGCTCATTTAAAAAGTTTTTATAGCGTGCTATGAGTATGATTTATTATAATAAAACTTTAGAGAGAGATAATACATAGTTGACAAGATATGACACTCTATATGAAGAATATTCGATCTGGGAATAGCAGAAATAAGAAAAAACACAAAACCTATAAAAACATCTTGGTTTCTTCGAAATGAAGGGATATATAGAGAGACTTGGTGGTAGCATAGAAATGCTAAAGATAAGTGGGAGAATCGAAATTGTGATATTTGAAACAATGAGATGAAGAAGATATTTTCTTCATGGTGTAAGACATGAGAATCCATGTGTTGAAGAGACGGACACTTCGTGACATATAAAACCAATGACCAATACATTATCCATCAGTTGCGTGCACTACATGGTTTTGAAGTATGAAATCTATCCCACATTATAT